ACCACCATTATCGAGAAGAGAATACCGACCGTGATGGTACACTCGTGGCCCGCATCCCTTACTCCGGTAAGTATCATTGTGCACAATGACTCTTACCTTTGTCTAGGAACTGCCTATTTCAAGAGGATGAACAATCGTCAACAACAACAACAGACGACAATAAAGGTTCAGAGAAGCTGTTTATTTATCGAGGTCACCACTAACCTTCGCCCAAAACACAAGAATCAACGTCCTTTGGGCCGACCTAGAAGATCACTACCACTTTGTCTTCAAGTGTTACTCAAACAACAAACGAAGGACAATCACAAGAATCATCCAAGCGGCTAACTTGGATACCGCAAACAGTATATCCATATACTCAACCTGCCAACCTGTCATTAACTGGGACAAGTTCGCAGGATACCTCGTGCGAGCTAACCATTATTGTATATATTGTATCGGCAACGAAATGCACTACCTCGCGGCTGACGCTTGTGGAGCAACACGAACTGAGCAAGATTACTCAACACATCTTAGAAATGACCGTGTACAGAGCAGAAGTTTACAAACCTAAAACGCAAAGACCGCGTCGACCTTATTAGGGAACTGGTCGAGACCTACGACGCTCGGACCCTCGCGGAACTGAAAGACGCCCTCAGTTACGACGACAGATTAAATTTGTACGCGGAACATGGACCATCTTGGAAGGAGACAGCAGAATTGGCGTGTGAAGCCTATATGGAACGACTAAGGAAAGAGCAGGAAACCACCAGCCTGCATGAATACATCTGCCGGAACAACCATAATAGGACTTGTCAGAAACCAAGGAACACTGAGGACGGCTGTCGATGGTTGGATACATTACTTGCAGTCAACAATATGGACAAGAGCCGATTCTTAACACAACTGACGCACATTATGAACAAAAAGGAACAAAGAATAAACGCCTGTGTTATCCAAGGGCCAACAGCGACAAGTAAATTCCAATACTCCTTCCATCTCTCCACTTAAAGGAAAATGCTTGATGCAAATCTCCTTACCGAGAACTATATAAACCGAACGGTTCAAAGGAGTGGCGACCATTAACAGTTCCATTGGACGAACCTCTTGAACAAACCAGTTACACTCATGGAGGAATCACGAATCACTCACTGTGAACGATTTTAAGGAACTCCTCGGTGGACGGCAATTGACATTCACGCCAAACATCAAAATGACGCTAGACTGCAAAGAATACCCGTTCTCATCTCAACGAACACACATATTTGCCGACATCTACAATCGGAAGACGCCAAAGCGATCAAAAGGAAATGTTTCTATTATCACTTTACTGAATCTATCCCGCCGGGTCTTCTTCACAAGCCACCTTGTATGTTGTCTGCCTGCCACTCTAGGGCATGGTGTTCGAAATGGTTTTATAGTAAATAAACGTATTTTTCCATGTTACATTTGTCTGGTCTTCAAACCTCCCAGGGAATGTCGCGCAATCTTAAGAACTGGTATAGCTCCTTATCCGAACCCGAACGCATAATCTTTGAAAAATTCTATCGGGAATTTTGGTGGGACCGAGCACGACTCAGATTTGTTCGAAATCCTCTACCACCAGCACTACTATCACAACCCTTTACCGACTTATTGGGAACATAATGGTTACCACAAGTCATGAACACACTGCAACACGTATACCTCATATGGACCATGGTACACCAAGCAAACAATCCAGACCCACATACTTCCGTCCTACACCTCGCAAATGACTACTACTATCATTAATTTAACCCTCGGACGAGATCCCCTAGAGACGACCTACCAGACTTAGAATAACCACAATAATTTGTCCAACAACTATATAAAGCAAAGAAACAACCAATCACCCCTGATCAACAGTAACGCCGATACCGGAAACACGTATCGAATTACGCCGAACAAACACCAAAATCGTTCTCGACACTGGATACAAACTACAAACGCCACAACCACAAAAACGTCCGCTTATGGAGGCGGACACGACAGCTGACGAAAATCATCCTCCTACTGCTAACGCATCTGCTCTCATGCACGCACACAAACTGTTTTGCATCCATTATTACAAACTGGAAGTTAACTTTACACGCAAGCAACACGTCACAGTCGCTCAATACAAACCAGGAGTATCCGCTCTCACTCAATTCTACGTTACTTGCTTCCCGTATCAGTTATTCGAGTCTTGGGCCATCAATCACACTGGTACCAATCACAGAGAACCATACAGCGGCCTTGCAGGTTCCTTTGACTATTGTCAATATAATCACGGGAACATACGCTTTAGCCATTTTGTTCCTCTGCAGAATTCTCTACAAGGCACTACACAACAAGATGTACCCGCACTCAACACAACACTCTACGCCTACTTCAGCCAAGATAATCTCGGTATCCTGAGCAAAGTCACTGCACTCAGTGCAATAGATGTAACTACCATGATCAACCAACAACGAAGACTGCCTTCTAGTGCATACTGGACTAACTCATCAGACGAAGGTCTCCTTGCACTAGACGAAACAAAACCATTTCACCAAAATGAGACACTGGAATACAATTTTAAATTCTCTTATCCACCAATACTCAAATTGCAATGTCCAAGTTTGTCATAAACCGCATTCACTTACCTTCCACTGCCAACCTCCGATGAGGCTCAATACGGACAATTCAGCAAAGGATTCCAATACACCTTCGTCCCTAACCAAGTACCAAACACAACTGCCAAACGAGCAGACATCCCACCACATGATTACCATTCCTATTCATCAATATTACATGGATTGAACAAGTTCGTGACACAGAAACTGTTCTTGGACTATGCGCACATATTCTCATGGAAACAAACTCAAACATGACTCTATGGACTATACCAGACAATGCACACAAAGTAAACCAAAATATTGTAAAATCCAATGATCATGATGTCACTTCCACTGATCTGTACCAACGAGCTTATCAATTTTATTAAATTTCTCCTCTCCTCCTGTCGATTTTTATCCGAAATATTCCCCTCCACTCCTATTGGCTGGGTAAGAACGTAAATGTGCGCACTTCGAATAGCCAGTTTCATTCAATCAGCGCTTGCTCCTCGGTTTGTACGATGCAGCCTTGCACCACATGAAACCTAGTCGCTGGGAGCCTATTTCCTGAAACTGGCTATTCGGAGTACGCACATTCACGTTCTCACCTAGCCAATAGGAGTGGAGGGGAATATTTCGGATAAAAATCGACAGGAGGAGAGGAGAAATTTAATAAAATTGATAAGCTCGT